TAGAATAGAATAGAATAGAATAGAATAGAATAGAATAGAATAGAATAGAATTCTTTATTGGCCAAGTGTGATTGGACACACAAGGAATTTGTCTTTGGTGCAGATGCTCTTAGTGTACATAAAAAGAAAATACATTCGTCAAGAATCATAAGGTACAACACTGAATGATAATCATAGGGAACAAATAAGCAATCAAATCATACTAGTAAACAATCAATATAAATCTTAAGGATGCCAGCAACAAGGTTACAGTTAAACAGTCATAAGTGGGAGAGATGGGTGGTGGGAACGATGAGAAGATTAATATAATGCAGACTTAGTGAATAGTTTGACAGTGTTGAGGGAATTATTTGTTTAGCAGAGTGATGGCAACTGTCCTTGTGTCTAGTTGTTCTGGTGTGCAGTGCTCTATAGCGTCGTTTTGAGGGTAGGAGTTGAAACAGTTTATGTCCAGGATGCGAGGGGTCTGTAAATATTTTCACAGCCCTCTTCTTTAGGGGCGAGAAGGGAATGCTTATGTACATACTTCACAGCTGCCATTGTGCTTTTAATATTGAATCTATTCAGACCAACGCGATTTAATTTTATTTAATATTTAGAATCCTATCCTTCTCTTTCTCCCAAAAGCTTTGAAGAAAACAGCTAAGAGTATTCGGTAGCCTCTTAAAATCACTCTTCTTAATTATGAAAAACAAGCAAAAGTTTTTTTCAGGAACCAGCTGAAAAATGAGCAGCATTAGAGCTCCTTCCTCCTTCGGTAAAGGCCCCCAAATCCTTTGAGAGAGCTGGGAAGGACATTTTCTCTCTCTTTTTTATGTTTTCATTTCTCTGCAGTCAATAAATATTGACCAGGGACACCAAGAAGTGGCTTAACAATATGAAGCAACCTTTCCCTTGCATGGCTGTGCCTCCCAGCCTCGGTCATCTGTAATGTCCAGATCTCCTGCCACTGCAGAATCTTTGAGCAAATACAAAGAACTGGCAAAGAAAATACAAAACAATGAATACCATGTGAAAAATTAGGCTGCTGGGTCTTGGGCAGCTGAGCCATCTTCACACTACAACTGTACAAGTGTACAACGTTGTTCTCAGCACACAACTTGGGGACTGATGCCAGTTTTATATTTGATTGCCCTCTGCTATCTTAGAAGAATTTTTTTTTAAAAAAAATTGCCCTTAAAATGTGGGATCGCTATCTTTATTTATTTATTTTTTTAAAAAAGAATCTTATTAAAAAAATTTCTCCATCTCATTTTCGGGCCAAAGGAACTCCCGCGAGGATTTGCAATGTGAAAATGAGCGAGCGGGTTATAACGTACATAACGATTTATCTCTAAACCAATCAGTGGAGCCAAATTAATGAACCCTCAGCGAAGACCGTGGGGAATCACACAGCCTGAGTGAGTTTGCATCAATCTGGCGCAAGTTTTTTTAAATTTTTTTTATTCATTTCATATTAAAATATTGGATACGGTGTGACCATCCTGGCGTTATCTTCACCGTACACACTAAAATATGAAACAAATATCATATATACTCATTATACATTACTAATTATATACAATTATTCTGCCCTGTATACTCCTTTACATTTACATATATTACATCACATTTCTGGTCTACAAATCCTGATTATTTCCTGTTCCAACTCCCACCTCTCAGTTCCAACCATTGGTAAAATCTATTCCATATATCATGATATTCGGTCTCTCCTTTGTTTTTTAATTCTAATGTCAGTCTATCCATTTCTGCGCAAACCAGTATTTTCTTTATTATCTCCCTTTCTAAAGGCATATTTTCACTTTTCCATTGTTGGACATTTACCATTCTCGACGCTGTTATAAAATGTCAAAAAAATGAGTTTTGATAACCAACCCAAATGGGGCAAAACTCACTTCACAAATGTCTCACTTAAGAGCAGAAATTAGGGGCTGAATTGTGGTCATAAATCAAGGATTCCCTGTATTAACCTAAAAAGCTGGCAAGCCAATTCCATTTAGCAAGAGGCAAGAAGTTTCTGGCTGCTACTGGAAACAATGTTTAAAATTGCACTCACGTGACACCCTTCCTGAGCGAGCTGCACTGGCTCCCAGTGGTCTTCTGGGTGCGATTCAAGGTGTTGGTTACCACCTTTAAAGCGCTCCATGGCTCAGGACCTGGATACCTTCGAGACCATCTTCTGCCACCAGTAGCCTCCCACTGGCCGTTTCGCTCCCACAGAGAGGTCTCCTCAGGTGCCATCGGCCAAATTATGTCGGCTGTGACACCAGGGAGAGGGTCTTCTCTGTGGGAGTCCCTGCCCTTTGGAATGAACTGCCCCCAGAAATTCGTAAAATCTCTGATCTCCATGTTTTCGCTGTGCCCTCAAAACCATGTTGTTCTGCCAGGATGGGCTATCAATGTAAAGATTTTAATTGTTTTAAATGGGATTTTAAATTTGGGGTTTTATAAATTGGGCCTATTATTTAATAATTTAATTATTTTTAAATTTTTGTCTGTCTTTGTGTTTTTAATTAGGCTGTAGACTGCCCTGAGTCCTTCGGAGAAGGGTGGTATAGAAATAAAATTAATAAATAAAAATAAAATTAAAAGGCTTTTTTCCCCCCAATTGGTTTGATGTAGAAGTGCTTGGGAATAAATGAACAAGGCAAAATGCTTTTTATCTTAAGGGCTCTCTTGGCACTGGCTGCCACTCCAAGTACTGTGAATAGAACTGGAGAGGCCACCAATGAATCTTGGGAAATTGACATGATGATGATTCAAACTTTCTATAGAATAGAATAGAATAGAATAGAATAGAATAGAATAGAATAGAATAGAATAGAATAGAATAGAATAGAATAGAATAGAATAGAATAGACAGAGTTGGAAGGGACCTTGGAGGTCTTCTAGTCCAACCCCCTGCCCAGACAGGAAACCCTACACCACTTCAGACAAAATGGTTATCCAACATCTTCTTAAAAACTTCCAGTGTTGGAGCATCCACAACTTCTGGAGGCAAGTTGTTCCACTGATTCATTGTTCTCACTGTCAGGAAATTCCTCCTTAGTTCTAAGTTGCTTCTCCCCTTGATTAGTTTCCACCCATTGCTTCTTGTCCTACTCTTCAGAAAGAGAGGATAGTTTGGTCCTTCTGGATCAAAAAAAAAAAGTCTAAAGTTGGGAAGTTTTAATCATTATCTAGTTCTTACGAATCTTTTTTTTTTATAGCTACAAAGAATGATAAAAAACAAAGCAAAAAAATAAATTAGGTATCCGTTATGGTCCTTTTTTTTGTAGAATGATACTGATAAAAATATTTGCACCTCAAGGTACAATCTCAGTAACTTTAAATTGTAAGGCTTACTACTCCAAGAATTGGAATTTGATTGATTGGTTGGTTGGTTGATTGATTAATTGATTGATTCTTGGAGTTTCATACTTCTTAATGTTGCTGAGACTAAGAAACACTGGTTAAAAATAAAAAAGAGAATAACAGAGATTTGGAAAAATGAGCTGCTATTGTACTCTGAAGATTGTGTTGCCAACCCAACCCATGCAGAGTGGTTAAAAATGTGTGGGGTTGCCACTTATTTCATAATTTGCATCAGTCACGGTTTACATTCTTATAACCTACCAAACTACACACAATTCCAAATTCAGAGCTGTTCTGAGGGTTCAGCAGCTAAAGCCAAAATCTCCCTCTTCATTTGGATGATAGTTAAAAGAATAAACTAAATAATGGATTGCTATTAAATGGCAATTGGTTGCTTTCTATTATTTAACGGATTGACGGATTAACAGAGGTGGAAGGGACCTCGTAGGTCATCTAGCCCAACCCCCACCCAAGCAGGAGACCCTACACCATTTCTGACAGATGACAGTCCAGTCTTTTCTTGAATGCTTCCAGTGATGAAGCTTTAATTTAATGGGACGGTATGGATTCATCAAAGGCTATAGAAACATACTAAGCCAGAACCAAGCCAACCGCTTTATTATTTATTTATTTGTTTGTTTGTTTAGACTTATATGCTGCCCATTTCTCGGAGAGGACTCAGGGCGGCTCACAACAATAAAAAAGAAAAATAAAACAAAAACTTGGGTTAAAAGTTACACATAAAATCTCTAAAATCAATTAAAATCCATTTTAAAAACCCCCCATCAGTCCAGGCCGGCCAGACGAAATAGCCACGTTTTTAGTTCGCGGGGAAAGAGCGAAGGTCGGGGGCCATCCAGGGGGAGCTGATTCCAGAGGGTAGGTGCCCCCACAGAGAAGGCCCGCTCCCTAGGGGTCACCAGCCGACACTGTCTGGCCTATGGCACTCCAAGTAGGCCCTCTCTGTGGGAACGCACCGGGCGATGGGGAGCTATTGCTGGCTGCAGAAGGTCCGCCAAATATCCCGGTCCTAAGCCATGGTTGTGTTCCCACCTGCTAAACCACAATGTACACTTGTGAACTTTTTTTTTAAAAAAAATTTTTTTTTATTTATATGTCGCCCTTCTCCGGAGACTCAAGGCGGCTTACAATGCGTTAAGCAATAGCCTTCATACTTTTGTATATTTATACGAAGTCAACTTAACTTAGCACATCGGAAACAAAGCCCAAGAGCCAAGAAGCTCCTTTAGCCGATATTTTCATTCATTGCACACCCCACTCCTCAGCCGTCCTTGTTGGTTGTGTAACGCTGGGAAATCCAGGTCCGGTCTGGAAGGCTCAGCGCCTCGTGTGAACGGACCAGCCGGCCAGGTGAGTTATCCACACCCCTCCAAAACGGAGCCCAGGGCGATCTGCGCGACCCCTACGCCTGGCCGGCTGAGCTTCCCAACTTTGCGCAGGAAAAACCAGAAAAACCAGACGCGGCGCTTGCAGAAGGAGAAACTTGCCACGCGGGGACGGGGGTGGGGAGGCGTTTTCCACTCACTCACTCACCCACGCACGCACCCACCACCCAAGCCAGGTTTCTTTAAAATGCCGCCCCCGAGCAGGACGCCACGTGGAGCAGGGAGGGGCGGTGGCGGTGGCTGGGCAGGCTAGGACGCGCCAAACCTCTACTGGATACCGGGTCTTCTGCGGAGGCGCAAGCTTCTTCGCCTCTTCGCCCGGGGCGATCTTGACCTACTGGTGGTAGTGTGCCGTGCCGTGCCTGGCGTTTTCCCCACCAGCGCGGGGTCTGTGGGGCGCGAGAAAGACCTCTCCATCTACCCGGAGGTGGGAAACAGGCTTCTACAGGAGACACACTAAGGAGGTAAGGGGCAGGGAGACGCCCCCGAGGCCGGGAAAGCTTGGGGTGGGTGGGTGGGGGGGTTGTGAGGTAGAGCCCGAGGGACACGGCAACAACCTCGACCACACGCGCCGTGTTGAGTATAATATGCATCAACATGCATACATGGCATGTACGCGCGCAATTTCCCAGGTGGAGAGTTGCTAAGGCTTAATTGAAGTCTGGACGAAGCGGGGATTTGACTCCAGAAAATTTTGCATTAGGGGCGTGGGGGGAAGATAAGGAAGTGGGGTATCTCTGCAAGAGTGTGTCTGAGGGTGTGTAAAGGATCATCTTCTTCTTCTTCTTCTTCTTCTTCTTCTTCTTCTTCTTCTTCTTCTTCTTCTTCTTCTTCTTCTTCTTCTTCTTCTTCTTCTTCTTCTTCTTCTTTTTCTCCTTCTCCTTCTCCTTCTCCTTCTTCTCCTTCTTCTCAGCAGCCAGTCATGCCATTGGTCCTTCCAGCTGGGTCACAGAATAGGGTTTTTTTGTTTTTCTTGGTCGTATCTGGAGACTTGAATGAGAGGGGCATCATTTCCCTCTCCAAATATTTCCAAATATCATCCAATTTGTAGAGTCTCGCATGGATTTGGGGTGCTTTTGGATTTTAAAGGGAAGCTGACCGGGGCACCGAGGACTTTGTTAGGATGCCTCCTTTTGAATTCTCAGTCTTCTTTCAAGCCTAAGGAGCCTTCTAGAAAAAAAAATGTCCAGAGAGGAAGAGGAAAGAGATGGTTACTGTCCTTAAAAGGCTCCGGAACTTGTGGGCTTTGGTGAAGATAAAACGAAGGTGGTGGAATTTCTGCCTGGATTTCAAAACGTACCTTCAATGGCATCTCTGAACATGGGACTTGATGAATATAGAATAGAATAAGAGTTGGAAGGAACCTTGGAGGTCTTCTAGTCCAACCCCCTGCTTAGGCAGGAAACCCTACACCACTTCAGACAAATGGTTATCCAATATCTTCTTAAAAACTTCCAGTGTTGGAGCATCCACAACTTCTGGAGGCAAGTTGTTCCATTGATTCATTGTTCTAATTCCTCCTAAGTTGCTTCTTTCCTTGATGAGTTTCTACCTTCAAGAAGCAATTTGATGAGTTGCTTCTTGTCCTGCCCTCAGGTGCTTTGGAGAATAGCTTGACTCCCTCTTCTTTGTGGCAGCCCCTGAGATATTGGAAGACTGCTATCATGTCTCCCCTAGTCCTTCTTTTCATCAAACTAGACATACCCAGTTACTGCAACCATTCTTCATATGTTTTAGCCTCCACTCCCCTAATCCTCTTTGTTGCTATATCTGTCTAAATATCTGTCTGGATTTATTCTTAAAATTCAATTCTTCCTCAAAGAAACTCGTTTGAGTCTAATTGTAACTCATGATTATTTCATGTTTGAATAGAGCTGGAAGGGACCTTGGAGGTCTTCTAGTCCAACCTTCTTCTCAAGCAGGAGACCCTATACTGTTCTGGACAAATGGTTGGCCGATCTGTTCTTGAAAGATCTCCAGTGATGGAGCTTCCGCAACTTCTGAAGGCAAACTGGTCCACCATTTAATTGTTCTAATCTAACTGTTAGGAAGTTTCTCCTTAATTCCAAGTTGCTTCTTTTCATTTTCAGCACAAAATAATATGCAAAACTAGCTGTGATGTGATGGAAATCTTACTCTAAAGCGGGGGTCCTTTACCTTGGCAATTTTAAAACCTGTGGACTGCAACTCCCAGAATTCCCCAGCCAGACTGTGGAGTTCGAAGTCCACAGGTTTGCCAAGGTTGGACATCTTGCTCTAAAGTACCTGAAGGGACTAAGAAAGAGTGATGTACTCTTTTTGTACTGATGTACTCATTATCACCTGAAGGCTCAGTGATGGACAATTCCTACACAACATTCTTCAAGTGCCTTGAAGAAATTGAAGGAAAGAATGCAATGCTCAAAGGGTTTTAATCAGGGGTGAAATGATCCCAGTTCAGACCGGATTGTCTGATCCGGTAGCGATGGAGGCGGGTGGTTCGGAGAACTGGTAGCAAAAATCCCTGCCCCCCACCCCATGCCCAGCTGAGCCGCGCAATCATCAGAGGCTTTTTTTTTAATTTTTAAAAGCATTTTTTCTACAACCTCTTCGGCCGAAAAAATGCTTTTAAAAGTAAAAAAAAAAAGCCTCTGATGATCACGCGGCTCAGCTGGGATCATCAAAAGCTTTTAAAAGAAAAAAACCTTTTTTTCTTTTAAATGCCTCTGATGATCCAAGCTGAGTTGCCTGATCGTCAGAGGCATTTAAAAGAAAAAAAAGTCTCTGCTGATCAGGCAACTCAGCTGGGATCGTCAGAGCCTTTTGAAAGCATTTTTTAACAACCTCTTCACCGAAGAGGTGTTTTTTTTTTAATTTGATTTATATGCCGCCCTTCTCCGGAGACTCAGGATGGCTTACAATGTGCTCAGCAATGGCCTTCATCCTTTTGTATATTTATACAAAGTCAGCTTATTTCCCCCAGAACTGGGTCCTCAATTTACCTACCTTAGAAAGGATGGAAGGCTGAGTCAACCTTGAGCCTGGCAAGATTCGAACCTGCAGTAATTGCAGGCAGCTGGTCTTAATAACAGGGTGCTTTAGACCACTGTACTACCAAGGCTCCTACCAAGGTTTGTAGAAAAAATGGTTTTAAAAGTTAAAAAAAAAATTGGCCACACCCACCCAGTCACATTACCCTCCCAAGCCACGCCCACAGAACCAGTAGTAACAAATTTTAGATTTTACCCCTGGTTTTAATGTTAGCTGCAAGCAGGAACATGTTTGACCAGAAAGAGGGAGTCCAGCATAGTTCAGAAATTAGATTCAGGTCGTCCCTGGATTCATGTAACCTGTCCTGCTTTGAGGACAGAAGGGAGCACCAGAAGTTTCTAGCCTGACCCAACCAAGTCCAAAGGTGGGCTAAACAAGAGAACAAGTTGAACCTAGCAGTGAAAAGAAGATCCCAGAGCAGAGAAGATTTAGATGACACGATAGCTATCTTCTAGCACAGGGGTCAGCAACCTTAAACCCTCAAAGAGCCACAAAGGTCCTAACCGGAAGCCCCCCCTTCAATTCTGGAGCCAACCGGAAGTCCAGTTCCCCCACCATAGAGTCTCCTCCTAGTGCGGTGTCCTTTTTCCTCTACTTGTCCTAACCAAAAGCCCTATCAATTGTGGAGCCGACCAGAAAACCCACCCCTTGCCATAGAGTCTCCTCCTGGGACGCCATGTTTCCCTCCTTTAACCGGAAGCTTCTCTCCAAATTGTGGCACTGACCAGCGACAGGGAGCCGCAGCAGAGGGATGAAAGAGCCACATGCGGCTCCAGAGCCACAGGTTGCTGACCCTTGTTCTAGCACTTGAGGGGCTGTCACAAAGAAGAGGGGGGGTTGACTTATCCTACCCTCAGGTGCTTTGGAAAATAAGAAGTAATGGGTGGAAAACTTGTTAAAAAGAGTAGAAGTAAGGACAACATTTCTACAGCAAGAATGATGAATCAGACCCCATTAAGAGCCATAGGTTGGCTTGGATTGTTGTGGCCATGTCTATATTCACACAATTTGCTAGGTCCCTTTTTTAAAAAATTTAGCCACGGTTAATGATGCAATTGTGGCTAGCCGTATCCATTCAACAGAGGAGACCATTATGGTTTTCAACAGTGGGTTTTCATAACTTGTTAGATCCGACTTAAAGGATCCATGTTATAAGTTCATGGGTGTTCTGTCCCTGTCTCACACACGCACACAAACAGTCAGCCAGGAGTTAATAAAACCAGCAGTCAGGAATTCCTTTGAGATAACAGAATTGGCAGCAACCCAGTAGCTGCCTGCCAAAGACTTTACTCACAAAGGGAGGTTTTTCTCCTCCGTCTGATACACCAAAATAAGTCCACAAAGCCAGAGAATTGTCAAATCCAATCCATAATAAATCCAAGGAGGGCATATAACGAAGTTCCAGAAAAGAAGTATGACTTGCTAGCTTTTCAGTGTTGTCCATCACAAGGCCTGAATGGCCACCACACCCCCTTTTATCCCCTGTGGGGTGTGGTCCAGTGACTCAGCTTAATCTCTGGCATGCCTCTTTCTCTGCTGCACGTGCTTATCTTTCAGACACTGTTGGGGATCCAGCCAAGACTTATCTCCGTCGCTGTCTAACTGCGGCTGCTCGGAAGTGCCTGGCTCCTGGCCTATCTCTTGGCCTTCGGAGGACACCTGAGGCATTGCCAGAGAGGAGGGTCCTAGAGAGGGAGGCCTTGCCAACTCCTCTCCTTCACTTTCGAAGTCTTCTCCCTCTGATAAGACAGGCTCGGGGGTCGGAGTCACAACAATGGGTTCAAAGAACTGGTAGCCTCGTGACTTGTGACACCGAATGGCTGGGGGTGGGGAGGACAATTCTGCAACTATTAATCATCTTTATTAATAAATAATGAATTAATTCTGCAGGGATGCACTATTGCCACTATCACAGATGACCTGGAATCATGATCTAGCTTGATTTATTTTTGGTTTAGCGCAGTGGTGGGTTTCAAAATTTTTTACTACCGGTTCTGTGGGTGTGGCTTGGTGGGCGTGACATAGGAAGGATACTGCAAAATCCCCATTTCCTCCCGATCAGCTGGGACTCGGGAGGCAGAGAATAGATGGGGGCGGGGCCAGTCAGAATTTTTACTACCAGTTCTCCGAACTACTCAAAATTTCCACTACCGGTTCTCCAGAACTGGTCAGAACCTGCTGAAACTCACCTTTAGTGGACTGGCATTATAGTTTATTCAATAAAATAAGACTGTTCATTCCTCGGTGCAATGTGTGAACTAACCCAAGGATTATTGGAGCATCCAAAATACAAACTTGCTTTTGGTGTAATAAAGGTGTAAGATTCTATCCCCCTTTTTGGTGAGATGGGTGGCTATATAAATTTGAAGAATTCCATAATTAAATAGAATACAATAGAATTTTTATTGGCCAAGTGTGATTGGACACACAAGGAATTTGTCTTGGTGCATATGCTCTCAGTGTACATAAAAGAAAAGATACATTCGTCAAGAATCATAAGGTACAACACTTAATGATAGTCATAGGGTACAAATAAGCAATCAGGAAACAAACATCAAAATTAATACAATGTCTACGCTGTCTGCATTTGCTCCTAAAATCCACAGATTTTTGTTTCACTGATTTTTTGAACTTTTGACGAAATAGAATAGAATAACCGAGTGGGAAGGGATCTTGGAGGTCTTCTAGTCCAACCCCCTGCTTAGGCAGGAAACCCTACACCACTTCAGACAAATGGTTATCCAACATCTTCTTAAAAACTTCCAGTGTTGGAGCATTCAGAACTTCTGGAAGCAAGTTGTTCCATGGGTTAATTGTTCTAACCATCAGGAAATTTCCCCTTAATTCTAAGTTGCTTCTCTCCTTGATGAGTTTCCACCCATTGCTTCTTGTCCTGCCTTCAGGTGCTTTGGAGAATAGCCTGACTCCCTCTTCTTTGGGGCAGCCCCTGAGATATTGGAAGACTGCTATCATGTCTCCCCTAGTCCTTCTTTTCATTAAACAAGACATACCCAGTTCCTGCAACCGTTCTTTATATGTTTTAGCCTCCAGTCCCCTAATCCTCTTGGTTGCTCTTCTCTGCACTCTTTCTAGAGTCTCCACATCTTGTTTTACATCTTTGTACATCGTGACAACCAAAACTGAATGCAGGATTCTCAGTGTGGCCTTACCAAGGCAATGTCTTGCTTTCAGTCTGAACCAAGACATGGGGTGTGATGCTCTCCTGCCCCTCCCTCCCTCCCAAGCCCCCTCTAATACCTGAACCCCTCGTATCTTTCTCCCACTCCTTCAAAAAAAAA